AAAATTTTTCATCTGGCCCTAGACATCTCCAACACGTCGCTGCAAGGAGAATCAACGCAGAAAGGATAAGTAGCTTCTGGGGCAGGCAGAGCTAGGGCAGAATCAGCAACAGGGCAGGGTCTGAGGAATGTTGGACTCAGGAAGAGAAGGGACTACTCCGACAGGGCCTCATCGGATGGGACGAGAATTACCACCTCAGGTGGGTCTGTCAAAACTTGCATCGGCGTTAGACCCTCACCCTCGGCAGCAATCTCGACCTCGGCCTGCATCATCTCCACCGACGGCACGTAGTTGTGTATTATGAAGAGTGGAGAGTCTGGAAGGACACCGGCGGCTCAGAGCGCCTCATCCCACCCCTTTTTGAAGAACTCTTTACTGTTCTCCTCAAGGGAGGGTAGTATGTTATCGACAAACTCCTCTCAGATTTGCTCCTCAGACTTTCTATTATCCGCTTCCGCCCTGATCCTATTCAACTCCTGGGTCAGAGCCAGGTAGTTCTCCTCTGACCCAACGGCCCTCACTTCGGCCGCAGAGAGCCGCTGCGTCTGCTGTATAATCCTCTTCTCAGCGTCGACCAAGGCGGCACTTAGCTTTTTAGCGCCGACTTTCGCCAATTCGCTGTCCTTGAGCAGTTGCTCAATCTGAGCGGCCTAGCCCACGAGGGTGGAGTCCCTAGTAGCCATGTCCTCCTTCGCCCTGGCCAGGGCTCCTTCAACCTCTTCCTTTTGCTCCTGGGTCCGTTGGAGGTCCATCCTAGCTTCATGGTCTCACGCAACAATTACGGAGATTTGTTGGGTGGCCTGCGAGGGAAAGAACTTGTCAATATGTGGGTGATACATTAAGGAAAGGCTAAATCAAGGATAAACTTACCACCAGAGAATTCTGAATGATGGAACGGAACAACGTGTTCGTTGTCCGCCCCCTGTGAGCCTCCATGTCGGCCTCGAAGTGGAACGTCTCGCTCACCGCATTGGTGACATAGGGGTCATGCAGAATGGAGTCATTGACCCTGATCACCCAGTTCATGTGATCAGTAGCCCCAGAGTTCCACCCGCAGCTTCCACCGTCTGCGGCGGGGGAGGTGGAGTCTGTCGCTGCTGCTACTGTTGCTGCTGCTGTTGTTGTTGTTGAGGTAGAGGGGGCAACCCATGACCCCTCCCACTTTGTTGTTGAGCGGAGAGGGCCCTGNGCTGTTGTTGTTGTTGTTGAGGTAGAGGGGGCAGCCCACGGCCCCTCCCACTTTGCTGTTGAGCGGAGAGGGCCCTGGATCCCTTACCAGGGCTGTCGTGCCTTTGCTTGGTCATCCTCTCCTCCTCAACTTGGGGATTTCGGTCACCCACCTGATCCCGACCATCGGCCCTCGAGGGTGAGGGGTTGGCGCTAGTCCCTATTGATAGGGCGCTTCTGGTTGACCCCCGTTCTCTCCCTGCGGCAAGGGCCTGCCTCTACCTCAAGAAACCCAGATCTATGCGGGGCGTGTGTGACATGGCTATCTCGAAAGTGTCCTCTACGTCTAGGGACTGGAGGATGTTGAAGTCCAGCCACGAGTCTCTCCTTGAGGTCCCCACTTCGGCGTGCGAAGGAACAAAAGCCTCTCTGGCCCCGAACTCCTCAACTACAAAGGCGTCCTTTACTTCTGCCTCAGTAGCCCTATCAGGGTCTTCCTCCAAATTCTGCTCAACCTCTTGTTGCGTTGTCTTATCAAAGAGTTTAGACCACTGCGAAGGGTTGAAAGGTTGAGGGAGCTGTGAAAACTTCTTGTACCCTGTTGTGTAGTCCAAGAGAAGGTGAGCGGCTCGGCCAAACCCGTCGTTGCCGACAAACTTCCAAATAGTTATGAGGTCGGCAAAGTGTACCAAAGACCAAGAAGGAGGGGCGACTTCCCGGGCAGAGACGTCTGCACAAGAAAAAAGGTTATTAACACTTGCAAAATATCCTAAGGACAGTAAAAAACTAGACTCGAAGAAGTCGACGTACTTGTCGTTCTTCACTCAAGGGGGCACCTCAAACCATCATACTCGGGACCGGTCCCCCGCCCCTAAGATCCATTGAAGATCAAGAGGTCATCCTTGTACCCTTTGTCCGAGTCAGGGAGGTGAGTTACTAGGTACATGGATGGATCCCTGACTTTGAGGTAGAAATTTTGCTGAGACATGACCCTCAACAGGGAGTAGCAAAAGAGAATATCGTTGAGCCCAACGTTTATCCCGAGACGGTTATTAAGTTCTAAGACCCCCATTATTATCCTAAAGACATTAAGGCAACACTGCCCGAAGAAGAGGTTGAAATGGGAAAGGAACTAGAGGAGTAGAGGAGTAGAAGAGGCAGGGGGAACCTAATTCCACCCTCTATGATTGTTTTGGTGTAAAAGGGCATCTCATCCTTGGCCTCGATATTACGGTTATACAAAACTGGGTCGTAATCTTCTATATCTACGTTTTGGGGAATGTGATACCGGGCCCTAAACCTATCGATCTGTTGGTCTCCCCGCACTCTGTACTTCCTTGGCCTTAAGGAACTAGCTAGGGGATCCTCAGTGGCAGGGCGACGTCGGGGCATCTCCAATTAAAATAAAAAGTAGAGGGGGAGCAAAAAGAGTTTTCCTACGAAGATCCCTGAGGGGTTTCCTGAGGGTTGGTCGCACGATGACAACCAGAAACACCTCTGGTTACCGGAGAATGAAAAACAAAAACCCATAAGGACGAAAAGAAGGAAGATGCAAGGACTCACCAGAATGCGAAAACGAAGGTTTCTGAAGGACTTGGAGTGGTTCCTTTCTCGAGAAGGTTCAGAAGCAAGAAGGGTTTTGCTGGTCTAAACTCCGGTGACGACTGATTGGTAGACGACGTGACAAAGGGGGTCTCCGGCGAAGTTTCAGGCGAAAGCTCTCTGAGTTCGAAATGGTAAAAGTGTGGGAAAGAGAAAGAGAGCCCGTTTATATAGTACTCATCCCCATTATTAGGCACGAATCACAAAGAGGCGCATTTAATGCACACGACCTCCTAAGCAATAGAAAACGGCTGGAAACAATGATGGAGTGGTTGGGGCAGTTGTAGAACCCTTCGTCTCCTTACAACGCGTGTCCTCGGCATCAGAAGATCGAAGGCTGGGGGACAGTTGATGGGACATTTTCAGACACTCCCAAATGGTGACACGTGTACTCGACGTTAATGAAGACTCTCCTGCTCTGATCCCGACACGTCTTCGTCGGTTTCTAACTCCCTGCCCCAAGGATGCTATTCACAGGGATCAAGGATCCCCAAACTACCATGGACCGACACGTATTCCTCGACAGTTGGGTATATCAGTTCTAAATCATGCTAGTCCCTCGACACCGAGGTGTATTTATCCGCGTGGGCGTTTCTACTCCTGTAGGGGCTATTGATGGACAAATCACTAGCCTAGGCTAGGCTAGACTAGCTATCATGACCTCGTCTTACTCAAATGGTGTCAGGAGGCACAAGAAAGCAGAAGGTTCAACCAAAGGGGAATGGGCACATGGTGTATTGTGTCAAATTAAAGACAAAAATACCAAAATACCCTTGTTGACACATGACTTGGGAAAGCAAGTATTTAATGCACCCTTCCCTTGATGAGACAGCATTTAATGCATGAGAGCTTGGAAGTGAAAGGTAATAAATATTCAAAGCCTGGGCATTTAATACACCCCCGCCGAGGAAAAATCATTAAACGTTCGGCAGACTGAGGAGAAAGCATTAGTTGCTCGGGGTCCCGAGCAGTAAAGAATAAAAACATTACTCATAGAAATTGGTGTGCTCAGAGGGGATACGTCGAAAAATACTCCAGCGCCCTTCTAACCTGTTTTTCTCTGTTTCCAGGTGCCTCCCTTAGCCTCCCAGGATCACTCAGGCGACTCATAAAAATGATTCATTATCCCTCCTTAGGCCACCTTCGGCCCTCACAACCTGTTCCAAGTAGCAAGATCGACGACCCGATTGACGGACTCGTGTTCACCACGGAAGAAATCTGTTCTAGTGTTTATATTGTGCAGGATCATGCACGCACAATAGGTTTAAGCTACAAAACGTTCGAGCTTTGTGCTATACATTTTCTATCTACTTAGTTGACAAATTAAATAGGACAAACTTCCAACTCTATCCTGAATATCAAGTTCCATATAATAGAGGGCTGAAGGCTCTACACCTTTGACTCTACAGACAACCATAAATATTGCAGAATTAAAAACAGGAGGAAAGAGGAGATGAAGGAAGTACGATATAATACATATTAAGATCAAAGCTGCTCCTGCTCGAGATCGAGAGAGAGAGAGAGAGCATGCGTTTGGCATTTGAAGGGAATTCGGATTGCAAAACAGCTAGGGCCTAGTGGTGCTTTTGGAAATGTGTGGGTTCGGGTCATCTTTGAGACGGGTTGATCACACGCCTATTAGAACCTCAATTCCATCTTCTTCTTTTTTGATAAAATACACTTTTAGTCCCAAAAGTATTTGTTAAATGTTTATTTGGCTCTTAATATTCTAATTATGTCTATTTACTATTTAGTCCCTGAAGTTTCTAATTTATATCTCTGTGGTCAAATACCAAACGTATGTCAAAAAATTGTTAGTCTATGCTCATGAGCCAATCAAGTGGATCAAATAAACACAAACTAAGAACTTATAAACTAAATAGACACAAATTAAAAATTTAGAGACCAAATAAACACAAAATTAAGAGTCACATGAATGACGCATGACTAGAACCATCGATTTTCTGATGGACATTTGAAATTAAACCACGTAGATACAAATTAAGCAACTTATGGACCAAATAGACAAAATTGAAAGATTGAGGATCAAATAACCAATAACAAAAAATATATTTTACCCTTTTTTTTCCCTGGAACTGGCAGTTCGATCCATTAACTACACGGTTTCTTTAAGTGCAAATTCTGACTTGAGAAAAATTTCTACTTTTTCTGCTAAATTGATGGCACTAAACGGCAAGCAAGATCATTTAACATGGCCTAAAATAGCAAAAAAAATTGATGCTAGATCTATCACATCCCTTTTAGGATGAAACAATTTTTTGAATTACACCATCCATAAACAAAACCATTTTCATATCTAACCACTTACAATGCACTCCACTTAGTATCGGATCCTAAATTTAAAGCATCCACACCAAGCCCACCACCGTTCAATACCCCAAAAAAAAAAAAAATCCATCCTACTGCCCCTTCCTTGCCTCCGGTGGCGAGTGGTATTTCCCAACCTTCAAAACCACCAAACAGAAATAGGGAAAAATAGAAAACCTCAAAAACCTCCTACTGATATAAGACTTGCATGCACAAGGATTTAAATACAGCTAACTGCATGTGTTTTTTTTGCGAGAGTCCTCATACCACAAGTTTGCAGCTCTCTGTAAGTCTTCAGGCTGGCTTCCTATTTGCAGCCCCTTGAAAAGAAAGCGAAAAATTATGCACCGACTACACCAGAGACCCATGGAACAATAACTGGTGCATTTGGGTGAGCATTTCTGTAAGAGTCTGAATATTTGTTCTTAAAATTAAGTCTGGGTTTTTCCGCCTGCATTTTGAAAATGCAAAACAAAAATGTTAAGATGTGGCTAGATATAAATAAGAAACGAAGGCCAAATGCAGATCTAGGGTGGCCAAAGCTTACATATTTTAGCCAGCATTCCCCATGTTTGTGTTCATAAATATCTGGAGAATAGCACCCTGTCTCATATGGGCAATAAACCCATATATTGCATTTATTTTCACCCTCTTTGGCATGTTTAGCATGATCCAAGCAAGCTTGGCAACAGTCATAAGCGGATTCTTTATGATGGGTAAGGCCCCATCTGACAGCAGCACCATCATAATCTGTATGCAGTTCACCATGGCATTCAGGAGGTAGCGGCCTGCCAGGTAAAATTTCCTTTTCTGCATAGAAAAGGCATAACACAGTAAATGCGGGAAATAAACTTGAAAACAGAGCAAAAAAATAATGCTTTGAAATCGGGCCACAAATGGCTGGATGCATGAAAAAACAATCCTAGAACACACATTCTACTTTAGAAATCGCAGAAACCCCCAAAAATTGTACAGATACTTTCCTAGAGAGAGAGTAGAAAATACTATTTGGATCGAAATTTCGATAGAAAAATGGAATAATGGTTTCATTACCAGACTCTTCTTCACCCTCAGGCTTGTCGTCATGTTCTTTGTGAACGATTTCAACAGGTATCCAGAGACCTATGTCCTCCGACAACTCAGCCCAACTTGACTCCAGAGCTCTTACAAGCATCCCTACAACCACTTGGATGATTAAGTCCCATGATTGATCAACAAAAATGCCACAGACCACATATTAACAATAATCTTAAATGCTGCAATAACAATAATTCAAAAGATGATGACTGTGAAAGAAATTATACCAGCTTCCTCAGGTGGGATGGTAGAGTTTACAGTCTTCCCATGCGTAATTTGTTTAGCTTCTTTAAGTTTTTCATTGCGCCAACTTTCAACAGCGTCTGTTCATTAGAAACAGTATGAAGAAAATAATTAGGGCGAAATGGATCAGGATAAAAAGGAACCTACACAATAGACACCAGTAAGACATGAAAATTAACTAAACCCAATTTCTAAGCAACTCATATCTGCTTCTCAGACATAAAGAAGATATATTTGTTCTCTTAACCAACTTCAACAACATTTTGGAAGTTTATCTGCTCAACACAATTACAAACCCTCACAAGGTTTCAGTTCCAAATTTGTAGAAATGACACACTGGCATGCTCTTGGTTGTGAGGAATTTGAAAATATAAAAAAAATCTGCTCCAGCTCCAATTGTTCGGAGAAGCATTTAAAAGCTTGTCAGTAAAGTTAAGAAATCAAAATTTACTAATACATGACAGCACCATATAATAAATTCATATTAACTAGGTGCAAGAGGGAAAACAGCCTCAATTACTTTCATTTTTTATTATGAATGATTTTACCCACTAGCAAACCCCCCCCCCCCCCAAAAAAAAAAAAACAATTTACGTCTCACAGCAAGAAATGCACCTCAAGATACAAGGATGTGACACACTTGTCGGCCCTAGATGGACAAAACAAAGAGCGCAACTCAGGGCAAAAACTCAAAGAGGTGGAGGTCCGGATAAATGTCACAACAAATATCAAGGCCTCCAAACACCCCTAAAGATGAGCAATACTTGCATTGTATATGAAAACTTCTTTCAACTCATCTCTCTCTCTCTCTCCCACCCACCCACACACACACAACACAACACAAAACCTACACAATTTTGACTCAGCTCCAAAAGAAGAAGGCTTTTTCACTTATTCACTTGATCTGGGGCTCATGTTAACTTAAATCTTAAGGAATGAAAAAAAGAGGCAAGAATGTCCAATTAGAGAGGCGGGCATGCATCCATCTGGGGGAAAATTGAGAGCGTAGTTGTGGTTCTTTGCCTACTTGCCTGGGGCTTCCACTAAGCTCCTCTTCTAGGTCAAAAATTGATATGGGATTCCGTTGAGGAAAGTTCCAAAGATGGCTTGCTAGGTAAAAAAAAAAAGGCAATAATTGTCTAAAGCGGTCACACCACTTCTCAAAAAGAAAAAATTCCAATATATACCAATAATTTAATAGATGTTTGTATTCACCATACAGGCATCAATGGCACACATATGAGCCATCTACCTAATTAATGTTTGTATCCAACACCGAGGCCTCAAGGAGCACAAGGAAAAAAAGCATCAAATAAATTGTTTGTGTATCGGACTAAGTAATGAATTTAAGAATCATTTAGTGGAGTGGATATCATATGTTCTTAGGGAGGGAATTAAGAGAGAAGAATTGTCTGAGAACACTATAGTCTATAGGCAAACTGGATATGGAAGTATCTGACGGAAAGGTTGTGAGAAAGGAAAGGAGGTGGGGACCATGGATAACAAATGAGATAACGAATTCACATGGATTAAACTTCTGGTAAGGACTAGGGATATTTTGGTAAGTGAGATATGATGGGGATTACAAAGTGATTAAATTTGGTAAAACAGTTGTGTTGCAAAGATGCTCTGGAAAAGGCTCATTAATATAATTTTAAAAAGTGGGACATACGGTCTCACCTCTTTTGCAAATCATAAAACCTCTTGCCAAATAAGATATTGTATGTCCCCATATTGGCTAAATAATTATAGGACCGAGATTAGTCAATAGACTTGTATGAGTATGAGTTACACCGCTACCATTCGAGGAAGAATATTTATGGTTCTCCGTGGCTAACAAGGAAGTAAAACAACATTTTTGAGCACCTAACTAATCATCCCAAACGTGCAGTCTCCGACCCCCACATGCTTCGAGTAATTAGCATGATAAACCCATGGTGAGATATGAAAATAAGGTAAGATTAAAGATTTCCAAGAGCGGTAATTTTGCATGAATTTTTCAGGTAAAAAGATTTGCACAGAGGGTGCTCCTTAATTCTCAGAGAAACCTCCATCCATGGATNGTTTTGCGTGAATTTTTCAGGTAAAAAGATTTGCACAGAGGGTGCTCCTTAATTCTCAGAGAAACCTACATCCATGGATCAGTATTTGGAAGGCATTCCTCTCCGACCTTGCCATGCCAAAGAGAATCCCTCCCTATTGTCACCCCATATTCGAGCTGGGTCCATTGTTGTCTGACCCTAACTCTAAATAAACCAAGCTCTGGCCAAAATTTGCCCTGCCTATGAAACATGATGCGAGGCCGAGAGCTACTAGGAAACAAAATGTGAATATAGAGATGAAAGTACAAATTGTCTCTAAAATGAGAGCAAACAGGATCAAAATTAGAACAACAGCAAGACTGATTTAAAGACAAAATGGAAAGAAACTGACATAGGAATGTGAATAAACTGTTAACCAAAAAAAAAAAAATNAACTTGCTTAAATAGCATCTACATGAGAAAATAGTAGTAACAGATGGCACAGTAAAGAGACAGGTTTGAGTATCAAGAAGTATAGAGATAATGCAAAACTCCCATTGGAGGTAAAAAATGAAAAACATGGACAGCACCACTAAAGTTACTCCGTAAACCCAAGGTGCACTCACCTTGCAGCTCCGTTGCATTGGCGCTGGCATTCAAGACTCTCAACCTTCCTAGTATCTCATCGGTTATCTTCTGTTTCACAGGCTGTGGCAATTCAACAATCTTTTCTTCTGTCAAATATTTCTCCTTGATTTGTTTCACCTTTTGCCACAACAGTGTTTATTTGATCAATTGACTAACTACCAATAGCACCAGTCACAAACTACCAAGTACTCAAACACAACCCATCAAAATTTCCCCAGAAAAAAGTCGAATTTAATAAGTACAAATCCCTAAAAACCGAGAATAAATCTTACCAATTTTACAAGCTTTACAGGTTCCGATGCTTTACGTATACGAATTGATTCTTCCATTTTCCTAATTTGATCTGACGTATACCTAAAAGCTTTACATACAAAACACCCACCAATAAACAAGCGTTGTGCATTAAGAAAACCAACAAAATCACCAATGTGCCTTCACAAAACCGAATTAACAAATTGGTACTTAAGATATCAACAATAACGCTGCATCTGTAAAATCCAATCAAAGACAGACTTGAATTCATACCGGTTTGTGAATCGTTATAGGGGTATATGTAAAGCGAAGTGTACATAGAGTGAAGAACATAAAGAGCAACAACAATGTTGATTGAACATATTATGATTGTGGTTCGCTTGTACGAACACCATTTGCCTCTCCCGTTATACCCCCAATCTGCTTTCGCCATCTTCTTCTTCTTCTATCTCCTTGAACTTCGTCTCCATTCCATCATCTCTCTCTCTGTAACTTTTCCTCTCTATATCTATTGTATTTGTGTATATCTATCTCTCCCAAACCGAGGAATTTGAAGAATGATTTGCCTCCAACGGATCAATCGACGGATTGGATCAATCTAACCCTCCCTCCCTCTTTCAGGGCTCGTTTCCAAAAGAAGAACAGTGAAGTGAAAATGGGTGCTCTGGTTGTTAACTTTTGTTCTGTAATTCTGTGTCCATTAGGAGTAATTTCACAGGATTCCGGAACTTAGGTCTATTTACACATTGACCCTTCAAGTGTAATTAGTGACACCAATACTCTTTCAACTTTTAAATCAGTGAATTTTGGTGTGGGCCGTGAGAGCGATACCTCAAGACAAACTCTGAATATTATATATAGTCTCAAAATAATAGGGGGTCAAGGTCGACCAGTGAAACAATGAGGGATAAGTTTCATTATTGAGAGAAAAACAACTTGATTCACCAAGTAAGGCTCCTCACTCAATGATAAAGGAGGTAGAGGAGTAGAGATGGTTAGGAGGTTTGCTTAGAAGTAGACGGCCTTAAAAGAGTGTGAAATAGCTCACTGATTAAACACTCTTTAAAAGATGCTTGTTGCCAATTCAACATTTGATGGCTTTTTCATCAATTTTTGAACAAAAATAATTTTTATCAGTACCAAGAAACAGTTAAAAAGTTGAGTTTATCTAAAAAATTTTAAGAAAAAAATCAATTTTTTCGGAAACACTCCAAAATGATTCTAGGTACTTTTTTTTTTAACTGTCTTTTGTATTTTATTTTTCAAATTTTTACTTTGTACCCAAAAAAATCAATTTCAGAAGGACCAATAGATATGGTTGAAGGGGGTGGGTTTCTATGTGATTTAGTGGGATCATGGAAGATAAAAAACTGTGGCCGAGGAGTTTATTAGTATTTTGGTATTTCTAACACGGTTTGTGACGCCCATCTAGTTTTACACTTAATCACAATTGAAGGGTATCATGTCTAACCGGTTCTTATTTCAGAGGGGTAATTTGTAATTACCCGCATTAGCTAATGCTGGTGGTTGTGCTAAACTGCGCATAGGATCAGGAAAAGTGGGTTCGAAATTGGCATTAATTATTGCCGACCTTGTGCTAACTTGCGCCGATGGGGGATGGTGTAAAAAATCATTTAAAGCTGTAAACAGCCGAGGACTCAAATCATAAGCATGGTTACAATACAGCACCCATCAACACGCCAAAAACATGTTCATTATACTATTTTTAATATGCGGTTAGTGGTTGATTTAATCTTAATCATTTTGTCGTTGGACTTTAAAATTATAGTTTCAAAATTCCTCTCTTTTATAATAAGAGCAATGTTACATGAACTTAAAAAATATATTTAAAAATTAGACTTAATAATTATAACCATTAATTTTACTGTGGGCCTCAATATTTATTAGGACCCACTACCTATTCAATGTTGAGATTATCAAGTCTAATGTTTAAGTCTGATTTTTAAGTCCATTTAATATTACTCTTGTAATAATAATTGACAAAAAAAATATATTATTATTTTTAATATACATATTATGTCCATAAATAGTAACTGAAATTAAATCAAAATAAAATTTATAATTTGTAATAAATTTTTAATATATAAGCTATGATACGAACAAGAAAGATTTCGCCCAAAAATTGATATGAATGTTGGTAAAAACGGCTGCAACACATCAAATGTCGTGACACTGACTGTGTCTTCATTTGGGTTTGATTATGGTAAAAAAGGAAATATTATTATTATACAACTATTTTTTTTTTTTAGATATTTATACTATATTTTTTTTTTGGTTTTATTAACTTTTGTACTTTTTTTTTTGTTCAAATGTCTGATATTCATGTCAATTTACACAAATATCGACTAATTTTTTTTTAATTCAGTCAAAAACAAATCATCCACACCGAAATTAAGACATTTATGAAAAATAAATCGTTGTTAGACTCTAAGAGATTACTAAAATTCGAAGTCATGTCGTATTGTGTTCACTTAAGAATATTGGGTCTATTTAAAACCTTTTTTGGGTGTATTTTTTTTATCATTTTTTGAGCTAAAATTTTGATTTTTTATTATATCTTTTTTTACTTTTCGAGATGATATTGAAAAATAAAAATAGGTACCGTACTCTTTTGAACCTCGGATGTGAACTTTTTTGTCCGATAATTTAAATCAAATTCAAATCGATTTAGACTACTTTGTTTAACCTTTCGCTTTCCTTTCCCATTTCCCCTTTCTCCTTCCCTGTGCTCCTCTACACCTCCTTCTAATGATTGAAAAAAATTAAAGGCAAGGGACTTACAATGATTTTTATGACAAACTTTGGTAAGAATTTTTTTTCAAAATTTCTGTAAAAATTCTATATTTATACAATTTTTTGATTGAATAGAGCTGTTGAAATTGAACAGTATTTTGTGAAAAGTTTTGCAACTTCTCTTTTTCTCTCTTCAGAGTTGCCAAATTTGTCATCTCAAGAGTTTTGATGTCATTTTTCACCCTTTTATGCCACCTCTTTGAAATAAAAATTTTTAAATTTGGGGTGTTATTTTGCTAGTTATAGGATTGTCACACCTGATGTCACTACTCTTGAAGTTGCTTTAAGATTGGATTCGCATTTAGATACACTAATTCGACCCGATAAAAGGTCCAGGTACGATTTTAGCCCCATATATAAACCATTTAGAGACAACCCAACCCAGTTACCTAACTCACTCACTAGACCAAAAAACAAACCCTACTGACCTTCCCGCGCTTCCCTCCTCCTCCCGCCTCTAACAAAATCTGCGGACGGCGACCATCCTCCGCTCACCAAAAATTCCTCCCCGGCCACCGACAGCCTTCCATTCCCCTCATTCCTCTTCTCCAAATCTCTGTTGTATCACCTTAGGTAGTGAGTTGTGTTCCACTGTTGTCAAAGTGTTTTTGGAGTTTTGAAATTTTGGAATTTGGGCGAGACGTTGAAGCTCTTGTCGTGTCGAAGGAGAAAAAGTTAGGGTTTCGGGAAGAGCTCCGGTCTCGGTTCTTCTTGGTAAGATTCGATTCAATTCTTTTTTTCATTTTCCTGTTGTTGAATAGGTGGATTATTGGTAAAAAAATGAGGTGAAATTGAATGAAAATTGTTCGAAACGGAATTTTGAACCATGCTAGGACTGTCATCGAATCACAAAAAATCGAAGTTGATGGATGCCAGCGACGGTGAAGAAGAGGAATTCGAATTGTCAAGAAACTATTTCCTTGCAAAAGAATTTGGCACTTCTGGAAAAAAATCAACCCGTAAGCTCTCGGAAATCGACATTGTTGACGAACAGGTCTGCTTTAATCTCTGAGTCATAACATCATCCCTCTCTCTCTCTCTCTCTCTCTCTCTCTCTCTCTCTCTATACGTATGTGTGTGTGTGTGGTTGGGATGGTTTTTTGTGTCGAAAACGTGACATTCGTTCCTACATGCAGGAGCTAAGAGCGGCATTATCGAATATTGAGCCTAAACACGAAAAGGAAATCAATGACTTGATGAACACTTACAAAAGTTTGTACTCAAAATGGGTTTTTGAATTAAGGTATACACCCATTTGTTTTCTTTTCAATATATGTATTTTTTTGTATGTGGGTGTTGATTTAATGGTTAGGAATTTATTTGCTCTGGATGATGTTTCAGGTGTGGCTTTGGTCTTCTAATGTATGGATTTGGATCTAAAAAGGCATTGATCGAAGATTTTGCTTCAACAGGACTAACCGAGTATTCTGTGGTTGTCATCAATGGATATCTTCACTCGATCAATCTTAAACAGGTATTCTCGTTTCATTTTTAACCACAACTCCATCTCTTTTTATTTAACTTTTTCATGTTTTTATTCCTGTAGTTTATGAACTGTATCTGGATGCTGATTAGTGTTTTTCCCCGGGCATTGCACAAACAATGACTCAAAGCAATAACTCTTTTTCCAATATTTAGATCATACATCTAGAATAGCTGCAAGAGCACTCTATATTTGTTTTTGGGCATGGAGTTTGGATTTGAACTAGGGGATGGACTGTCGAAACTGTGTGCATTAATTGATGTTCACACGTTAATGGTGGTAGGTGGTTGTGCTTACTTATCAAAAGCAAAGGAGAAATGATGGTTGGTGATGTTCATGTCAATGTGCTGTTGCGAAGTAGGTTTCTTAGAATTGTTGATACTGATACTAATTGTTCAGTATAATTAGAGGATGACCTTCAGTTGCTGTTAATTAACAGTATCATGATAATGTACTTATAAGTTATAATTGATATTGAATTTGTGGACAAGACTGAATCTTGAGAAGGGAATAAAAGTATTATCTGGCTTCATCTCATCACAACTGTAATACATCATATTTAGGTCAAATGCTTATCGATAGCTTGATGAGGTTGTTTGAGAAGGGTTTAGGCACTTGATTTGGGGGTAGCATAGGTAGTAGCCTTTTGGACTAACTGATTGGCACAAATTAGGTCATTGGACCACTGATTTTGAGTCTGAGTTTATGTTTTTTCTTTTTCTTTTCTTGTCATTTTTCCTCTCCCTTGCATTATATTTTAAGTACAATGGGTGGGTGGGCAGGAATCTTGATGGATTAAGTTGGATATAGAAGTGTGAATGAGTAGCTTATATGCTTATCAGGGCAAAAAGAAGGGAAAAAGGAAATGCAGAAATTCCTATAAACAGTGCAGAACTACATAATAAAATAAAACAAAGTTGATAACAACATGACTGTTGTGTGCTCCCCTGATTGGTTGTTACTGAGACAACAAGATTCAAAGAGACTCTAACACATTGTTAAAGGTGCCTTAGTTATCATTAAGAATTGATCATATGATTCTAGCTAAATTATACACAGTATGGCTGCTATCAGCAACAAACTGTGAGTTTTATGGAGCTAAGTGTTTCCTGCCCAGCTAATAAGAATTGAGCATAGTCTTAATCATGGCTGTTAAATTGTAGGTAGTGATAACCTTGGCTGAATTACTGTGGGAGCAATTGAAAAACTATCAAAATACACCTTCAGGGAAATCTTCTAAAGCTGAAGAACCTTATAATTCCCGATCCATGGATGATCTGCTTGCTTTTCTGGATGGCCCACATGCCGATGGAAAGAAATGCTTTGTTTGTGCTGTCGTTCATAACATTGATGGACCTGCTTTACGAGACTCTGAAAGTCAGCAGTATCTTGCAAGAATTTCTGCTTGTTCTCATATTCGTATCGTTGCTTCCATCGACCATGTGAATGCACCTCTTTGTAAGTATCATCTAGGCTTTGTGATTTATTTCAGATATGAGAATTGGTGGTGGGCACGTTGCAAACAGTTGTCTTTCAGCTTGTTTACTTGCTGCTCTCCTGGGTTTATTCAGATAAACGGTGTCATCTAATTTTCTTGGCAATACTTCTTTGGAGAGGGCTGACAATATGAGATATTCAGATATTTTCTGTTTACTAAANAAACACTCTTTAAAAGATGCTTGTTGCCAATTCAACATTTGATGGCTTTTTCATCAATTTTTGAACAAAAATAATTTTTATCAGTACCAAGAAACAGTTAAAAAGTTGAGTTTATCTAAAAAATTTTAAGAAAAAAATCGACTTTTTCGGAAACACTCCAAAATGATTCTAGGTACTTTTTTTTTTAACTGTCTTTTGTATTTTATTTTTCAAATTTTTACTTTGTACCCAAAAAAATCAATTTCAGAAGGACCAATAGATATGGTTGAAGGGGGTGGGTTTCTATGTGATTTAGTGGGATCATGGAAGATAAAAAACTGTGGCCGAGGAGTTTATTAGTATTTTGGTATTTCTAACACGGTTTGTGACGCCCATCTAGTTTTACACTTAATCACAATTGAAGGGTATCATGTCTAACCGGTTCTTATTTCAGAGGGGTAATTTGTAATTACCCGCATTAGCTAATGCTGGTGGTTGTGCTAAACTGCGCATAGGATCAGGAAAAGTGGGTTCGAAATTGGCATTAATTATTGCCGACCTTGTGCTAACTTGCGCCGATGGGGGATGGTGTAAAAAATCATTTAAAGCTGTAAACAGCCGAGGACTCAAATCATAAGCATGGTTACAATACAGCACCCATCAACACGCCAAAAACATGTTCATTATACTATTTTTAATATGCGGTTAGTGGTTGATTTAATCTTAATCATTTTGTCGTTGGACTTTAAAATTATAGTTTCAAAATTCCTCTCTTTTATAATAAGAGCAATGTTACATGAACTTAAAAAATATATTTAAAAATTAGACTTAATAATTATAACCATTAATTTTACTGTGGGCCTCAATATTTATTAGGACCCACTACCTATTCAATGTTGAGATTATCAAGTCTAATGTTTAAGTCTGATTTTTAAGTCCATTTAATATTACTCTTGTAATAATAATTGACAAAAAAAATATATTATTATTTTTAATATACATATTATGTCCATAAATAGTAACTGAAATTAAATCAAAATAAAATTTATAATTTGTAATAAATTTTTAATATATAAGCTATGATACGAACAAGAAAGATTTCGCCCAAAAATTGATATGAATGTTGGTAAAAACGGCTGCAACACATCAAATGTCGTGACACTGACTGTGTCTTCATTTGGGTTTGATTATGGTAAAAAAGGAAATATTATTATTATACAACTATTTTTTTTTTTTAGATATTTATACTATATTTTTTTTTTGGTTTTATTAACTTTTGTACTTTTTTTTTTGTTCAAATGTCTGATATTCATGTCAATTTACACAAATATCGACTAATTTTTTTTTAATTCAGTCAAAAACAAATCATCCACACCGAAATTAAGACATTTATGAAAAATAAATCGTTGTTAGACTCTAAGAGATTACTAAAATTCGAAGTCATGTCGTATTGTGTTCACTTAAGAATATTGGGTCTATTTAAAACCTTTTTTGGGTGTATTTTTTTTATCATTTTTTGAGCTAAAATTTTGATTTTTTATTATATCTTTTTTTACTTTTCGAGATGATATTGAAAAATAAAAATAGGTACCGTACTCTTTTGAACCTCGGATGTGAACTTTTTTGTCCGATAATTTAAATCAAATTCAAATCGATTTAGACTACTTTGTTTAACCTTTCGCTTTCCTTTCCCATTTCCCCTTTCTCCTTCCCTGTGCTCCTCTACACCTCCTTCTAATGATTGAAAAAAATTAAAGGCAAGGGACTTACAATGATTTTTATGACAAACTTTGGTAAGAATTTTTTTTCAAAATTTCTGTAAAAATTCTATATTTATACAATTTTTTGATTGAATAGAGCTGTTGAAATTGAACAGTATTTTGTGAAAAGTTTTGCAACTTCTCTTTTTCTCTCTTCAGAGTTGCCAAATTTGTCATCTCAAGAGTTTTGATGTCATTTTTCACCCTTTTATGCCACCTCTTTGAAATAAAAATTTTTAAATTTGGGGTGTTATTTTGCTAGTTATAGGATTGTCACACCTGATGTCACTACTCTTGAAGTTGCTTTAAGATTGGATTCGCATTTAGATACACTAATTCGACCCGATAAAAGGTCCAGGTACGATTTTAGCCCCATATATAAACCATTTAGAGACAACCCAACCCAGTTACCTAACTCACTCACTAGACCAAAAAACAAACCCTACTGACCTTCCCGCGCTTCCCTCCTCCTCCCGCCTCTAACAAAATCTGCGGACGGCGACCATCCTCCGCTCACCAAAAATTCCTCCCCGGCCACCGACAGCCTTCCATTCCCCTCATTCCTCTTCTCCAAATCTCTGTTGTATCACCTTAGGTAGTGAGTTGTGTTCCACTGTTGTCAAAGTGTTTTTGGAGTTTTGAAATTTTGGAATTTGGGCGAGACGTTGAAGCTCTTGTCGTGTCGAAGGAGAAAAAGTTAGGGTTTCGGGAAGAGCTCCGGTCTCGGTTCTTCTTGGTAAGATTCGATTCAATTCTTTTTTTCATTTTCCTGTTGTTGAATAGGTGGATTATTGGTAAAAAAATGAGGTGAAATTGAATGAAAATTGTTCGAAACGGAATTTTGAACCATGCTAGGACTGTCATCGAATCACAAAAAATCGAAGTTGATGGATGCCAGCGACGGTGAAGAAGAGGAATTCGAATTGTCAAGAAACTATTTCCTTGCAAAAGAATTTGGCACTTCTGGAAAAAAATCAACCCGTAAGCTCTCGGAAATCGACATTGTTGACGAACAGGTCTGCTTTAATCTCTGAGTCATAACATCATCCCTCTCTCTCTCTCTCTCTCTCTCTCTCTCTCTCTCTCTATACGTATGTGTGTGTGTGTGGTTGGGATGGTTTTTTGTGTCGAAAACGTGACATTCGTTCCTACATGCAGGAGCTAAGAGCGGCATTATCGAATATTGAGCCTAAACACGAAAAGGAAATCAATGACTTGATGAACACTTACAAAAGTTTGTACTCAAAATGGGTTTTTGAATTAAGGTATACACCCATTTGTTTTCTTTTCAATATATGTATTTTTTTGTATGTGGGTGTTGATTTAATGGTTAGGAATTTATTTGCTCTGGATGATGTTTCAGGTGTGGCTTTGGTCTTCTAATGTATGGATTTGGATCTAAAAAGGCATTGATCGAAGATTTTGCTTCAACAGGACTAACCGAGTATTCTGTGGTTGTCATCAATGGATATCTTCACTCGATCAATCTTAAACAGGTATTCTCGTTTCATTTTTAACCACAACTCCATCTCTTTTTATTTAACTTTTTCATGTTTTTATTCCTGTAGTTTATGAACTGTATCTGGATGCTGATTAGTGTTTTTCCCCGGGCATTGCACAAACAATGACTCAAAGCAATAACTCTTTTTCCAATATTTAGATCATACATCTAGAATAGCTGCAAGAGCACTCTATATTTGTTTTTGGGCATGGAGTTTGGATTTGAACTAGGGGATGGACTGTCGAAACTGTGTGCATTAATTGATGTTCACACGTTAATGGTGGTAGGTGGTTGTGCTTACTTATCAAAAGCAAAGGAGAAATGATGGTTGGTGATGTTCATGTCAATGTGCTGTTGCGAAGTAGGTTTCTTAGAATTGTTGATACTGATACTAATTGTTCAGTATAATTAGAGGATGACCTTCAGTTGCTGTTAATTAACAGTATCATGATAATGTACTTATAAGTTATAATTGATATTGAATTTGTGGACAAGACTGAATCTTGAGAAGGGAATAAAAGTATTATCTGGCTTCATCTCATCACAACTGTAATACATCATATTTAGGTCAAATGCTTATCGATAGCTTGATGAGGTTGTTTGAGAAGGGTTTAGGCACTTGATTTGGGGGTAGCATAGGTAGTAGCCTTTTGGACTAACTGATTGGCACAAATTAGGTCATTGGACCACTGATTTTGAGTCTGAGTTTATGTTTTTTCTTTTTCTTTTCTTGTCATTTTTCCTCTCCCTTGCATTATATTTTAAGTACAATGGGTGGGTGGGCAGGAATCTTGATGGATTAAGTTGGATATAGAAGTGTGAATGAGTAGCTTATATGCTTATCAGGGCAAAAAGAAGGGAAAAAGGAAATGCAGAAATTCCTATAAACAGTGCAGAACTACATAATAAAATAAAACAAAGTTGATAACAACATGACTGTTGTGTGCTCCCCTGATTGGTTGTTACTGAGACAACAAGATTCAAAGAGACTCTAACACATTGTTAAAGGTGCCTTAGTTATCATTAAGAATTGATCATATGATTCTAGCTAAATTATACACAGTATGGCTGCTATCAGCAACAAACTGTGAGTTTTATGGAGCTAAGTGTTTCCTGCCCAGCTAATAAGAATTGAGCATAGTCTTAATCATGGCTGTTAAATTGTAGGTAGTGATAACCTTGGCTGAATTACTGTGGGAGCAATTGAAAAACTATCAAAATACACCTTCAGGGAAATCTTCTAAAGCTGAAGAACCTTATAATTCCCGATCCATGGATGATCTGCTTGCTTTTCTGGATGGCCCACATGCCGATGGAAAGAAATGCTTTGTTTGTGCTGTCGTTCATAACATTGATGGACCTGCTTTACGAGACTCTGAAAGTCAGCAGTATCTTGCAAGAATTTCTGCTTGTTCTCATATTCGTATCGTTGCTTCCATCGACCATGTGAATGCACCTCTTTGTAAGTATCATCTAGGCTTTGTGATTTATTTCAGATATGAGAATTGGTGGTGGGCACGTTGCAAACAGTTGTCTTTCAGCTTGTTTACTTGCTGCTCTCCTGGGTTTATTCAGATAAACGGTGTCATCTAATTTTCTTGGCAATACTTCTTTGGAGAGGGCTGACAATATGAGATATTCAGATATTTTCTGTTTACTAAAGTTCTTAAAAGTTGAGGTTTCATTCTTGGGGCTCCCCTCTGTCCAGGCTTAGGGAGAAAAAGGGAAATGACATGGGTAAATGTTGCTGGTTGGAAGTATATACATCCTTCCCTCTCCCTTATTTCTATCNTAGTTCTTAAAAGTTGAGGTTTCATTCTTGGGGCTCCCCTCTGTCCAGGCTTAGGGAGAAAAAGGGAAATGACGTGGGTAAATGTTGCTGGTTGGAAGTATATACATCCTTCCCTCTCCCTTATTTCTATCTTCTCTAAAAGAAAAAGTTAAGTTTTAGATGGGGTGATTTATGGATTCTTTACTCACCNCAATTGAAGGGTATCATGTCTAACCGGTTCTTATTTCAGAGGGGTAATTTGTAATTACCCGCATTAGCTAATGCTGGTGGTTGTGCTAAACTGCGCATAGGATCAGGAAAAGTGGGTTCGAAATTGGCATTAATTATTGCCGACCTTGTGCTAACTTGCGCCGATGGGGGATGGTGTAAAAAATCATTTAAAGCTGTAAACAGCCAAGGACTCGAATCATAAGCATGGTTACAATACAGCACCCATCAACACGCCAAAAACATGTTCATGATACTATTTTTAATATGCGGTTAGTGGTTGATTTAATCTTAATCATTTTGTCGTTGGNTCTTCTCTAAAAGAAAAAGTTAAGTTTTAGATGGGGTGATTTATGGATTCTTTACTCACCGGAAATAAACAATGCATTAAATCTCTTTCCTTATTATTTTTTGAATCAAAAATATTTCCTTTAGAGGTCATTTTGGGCCATGAACACCTGCCTGCATCTTGAACTCAAATTGTGCCTTGTTCTCTGTAGTGTCTGTAATGATATANCCTCATGATTCCTCTCTTTTGTAATAAGAGCAATGTTACATCAACTTAAAAAATATATTTAAAAATTAGACTTAATAATTAGAACAATTAATTTTACTGTGGGCCTCAATATTTATTAAGACTCACTACCTATTCAATATTGAGATTATCAAGTCTAATGTTTAAGTCTGATTTTTAAGTCCATTTAATATTACTCNAGAAATAAACAATGCATTAAAGCTCTTTCCTTATTATTTTTTGAATCAAAAATATTTCCTTTAGAGGTCATTTTGGGCCATGAACACCTGCCTGCATCTAGAACTCAAATTGTGCCTTGTTCTCTGTAGTGTCTGTAATGATATATACCCCATTTATGCACGTACTAANGGAAATAAACAATGCATTAAATCTCTTTCCTTATTATTTTTTGAATCAAAAATATTTCCTTTAGAGGTCATTTTGGGCCATGAACACCTGCCTGCATCTTGAACTCAAATTGTGCCTTGTTCTCTGTAGTGTCTGTAATGATATATACCCCATTTATGCACGTACTAATACCATTTTGATTTNCATTTTTAATATATAAGCTATGATACGAACAAGAAAGATTTCGCCCATAAATTGATATGAATGTTGGTAAAAACGACTGCAACACATCAAATGTCGTGACACTGACTGTGTCTTCATTTGGGTTTGATTATGGTAAAAAAGGAAATATTATTATTATACTACTATTTTTTTTTTTAGATATTTATACTATATTTTTTTATAGGTTTTATTAACTTTTGTACTTTTTTTTTTTGTTCAAATGTCTGGTATTCATGCCAATTTACACAAATATCGACTAATTTTTTTTTAATCCAGTCAAAAACAAACCATCCACACCAAAATTAAGACATTCATGAAAAATAAATAGTTGTTAGACTCTAAGAGATTACTAAAATTCGAAGTCATGTCGTATTGTGTTCACTTAAGAATATTGGGTCTATTTAAAACCTTTTTTGGGTGTATTTTTTTTTAATCATTTTTTGAGCTAAAATTTTGATTTTTTATTATATCTTTTTTTACTTTTCGAGATGATATTGAAAAATAAAAATAGGTACGTACTCTTTTGAACCTCGGATATTGATGATGCACAAAAATAGTTTTGCACACCACCTGTCAAGTATAGATAATAAATGCAATGAAATCAACGAAAAAATTAGAGAAGACACAATTTATAGTGGTTCGGTCAATTCGACCTACGTCCACTCTTCAATGGCTTCAGTCGCCGGGTATTTTATTGATTCAAAGGTATGGAGAATGGAGATACAAGCTTTGAGAGGGGGAATGGAGAATCAGAGAAAATAATAATCTCCGGTAGTCGGTTCGTCTTCTGTAAGTCTCTGATGGAGCATGTCATCTTCCTCTCCCAGATTAGAGCCATTTTATAGTAGATAAGAGATCATTCTTGTGGAGATCATGACATATCCTCAAGGCTTCTTTATCGCAGCTTAGAGATTATCTTTGGTGGAGATCACGACTTATCCTCAACGGAAGGAAGAGGTTGGGGAGCTCTTCATGAAACGTGGTCAAAGATTGGATCGTTTCCTTCCTTAAGGCGGTGCAGATAAGCTTCCCGTGCTCTCCTCTTGGTGACCTGCTAAGCAAGAAGTCTAACCGGCCTTAAGCTTCTCGTGCTCTCCTCTTGGTGACGTGCTAAGCAAGAAGTCTAACCGGCCTCAAGCTTCCCGTGCTTCCTCTTAGTGACGTACTAAGCAAGAAGTCTAACCGGCCTTAAGCTTCCCGTGCTTCCTCTTGGTGACGTGCTAAGCAAGAAGTTTAACTGGTCTTGGACTGTCTTGGCTTGGTGGAATCAAAATGAGGTTGGGCTCCTCAACTGGGGTTGGACTTTAACACATAAATTGGACTATTTTGGCTTAACCCATCAGATATGAACTTTTTTGTCTGATAATTTAAATCAAATTCAAATCGATTTAGACTTATTCGCTTAGCCTTTCGCTTTCCTTTTCCCTTTCCCCCTTCTCCTTCCCTATGCTCCTCTACGCCTCCTTCTAATGATTGAAAAAAAATTAAAGGCAAGGGACTTACAATGATTTTTATGACAAACTTTGGTAAGAATTTTTTTTCAAAATTTATGCAAAAACTCTATATTTATACAATTTTTTGATTGAATAGAGCTGTTGAAATTGAACAGTATTTTGTGAAAAACTTTGCAACTTCTCTTTTTCTCTCTTCAGAGTTGTCAAATTTGTCATCTCAAGAGTTTTGATGTCATTTTTCATCCTTTTATGCCACCTCTTTGAAATAAAAATTTTTAAATTTGGGGTGTTATTTTGCTTGTTATAGGATTGTCACACCTGATATCACTACTCTTAAAGTTGCTTTAAGATTGGATTCGCATTTAGATACACTAATTCGACCCGATAAAAGGTCCAGGTACGATTTTAGCCCCATATATAAACCATTTAGAGACAACCCAACCCAGTTACCTAACTCACTCACTAGACCAAAAAACAAACCCTACTGACCTTCCCGCGCTTCCCTCCTCCTCCCGCCTCTAACAAAATCTGCGGACGGCGACCATCCTCCGCTCACCAAAAATTCCTCCCCGGCCACCGACAGCCTTCCATTCCCCTCATTCCTCTTCTCCAAATCTCTGTTGTATCACCTTAGGTAGTGAGTTGTGTTCCACTGTTGTCAAAGTGTTTTTGGAGTTTTGAAATTTTGGAATTTGGGCGAGACGTTGAAGCTCTTGTCGTGTCGAAGGAGAAAAAGTTAGGGTTTCGGGAAGAGCTCCGGTCTCGGTTCTTCTTGGTAAGATTCGATTCAATTCTTTTTTTCATTTTCCTGTTGTTGAATAGGTGGATTATTGGTAAAAAAATGAGGTGAAATTGAATGAAAATTGTTCGAAACGGAATTTTGAACCATGCTAGGACTGTCATCGAATCACAAAAAATCGAAGTTGATGGATGCCAGCGACGGTGAAGAAGAGGAATTCGAATTGTCAAGAAACTATTTCCTTGCAAAAGAATTTGGCACTTCTGGAAAAAAATCAACCCGTAAGCTCTCGGAAATCGACATTGTTGACGAACAGGTCTGCTTTAATCTCTGAGTCATAACATCATCCCTCTCTCTCTCTCTCTCTCTCTCTCTCTCTATACGTATGTGTGTGTGTGTGGTTGGGATGGTTTTTTGTGTCGAAAACGTGACATTCGTTCCTACATGCAGGAGCTAAGAGCGGCATTATCGAATATTGAGCCTAAACACGAAAAGGAAATCAATGACTTGATGAACACTTACAAAAGTTTGTACTCAAAATGGGTTTTTGAATTAAGGTATACACCCATTTGTTTTCTTTTCAATATATGTATTTTTTTGTATGTGGGTGTTGATTTAATGGTTAGGAATTTATTTGCTCTGGATGATGTTTCAGGTGTGGCTTTGGTCTTCTAATGTATGGATTTGGATCTAAAAAGGCATTGATCGAAGATTTTGCTTCAACAGGACTAACCGAGTATTCTGTGGTTGTCATCAATGGATATCTTCACTCGATCAATCTTAAACAGGTATTCTCGTTTCATTTTTAACCACAAACCCATCTCTTTTTATTTAACTTTTTACATGTTTTTATTCCTGTAGTTTATGAACTGTTTCTGGATGCTGATTAGTGTTTTTCCCGGGCATTGCACAAACAATGACTCAAAGCAATAACTCTTTATCCAATATTTAGATCATACATCTAGAATAGCTGCAAGAGCACTCTATATTTGTTATTGGGCATGGAGTTTGGATTTGAACTAGGGGATGGACTGTCGAAACTGTGTGCATTAATTGATGTTCACACGTTAATGGTGGTAGGTGGTTGTGCTTACTTATCAAAAGCAAAGGAGAAATGATGGTTGGTGATGTTCATGTCAATGTGCTGTTGCGAAGTAGGTTTCTTAGAATTGTTGATACTGATACTAATTGTTCAGTATAATTAGAGGATGACCTTCAGTTGCTGTTAATTAACAGTATCATGATAATGTACTTATAAGTTATAATTGATATTGAATTTGTGGACAAGACTGAATCTTGAGAAGGGAATAAAAGTAT